TGCTTAATTGTGTTCAGTGGGTTAGTCGCAATTTTTTCGCCCTCCGCGGCTTTTCGCTGATTAAACGTTAGTGACATTTGACTGGTAATTGAACCCAAACGAGGAAAGTCGGGGGGAAGAGTTTTCGTTTTGGGGGGGGGTCCGTCAGTCCGAACTTCTCACTTCAAAAAAGAAGAAGAAATCTAGATCGCAAAATAATTAAACAAGCGAGTGCCTGTTTTTCCTGGCCAAGGACAGGTTCATTGAACACAACACGAGCGTAACGTGTCTTCACCATAGGTCTTCACGTGGTTATGTCTCGTCTGGAAGGTGTAACGGAGAGCATCGGAACGCTGCTCCAGCTCTTCAAATATTGCAGTACCCATAAGGAGCCGTACACATGCCGCAGTGTTTGCGAGGCTGTGTCTTTAGTTGTAAGCACAGTGGCGATCTGTTGTTATTAGCATCTGGTTAGCTAGCTATGCTAACGAATTTAAAGAGCTTTTCTACAACCAGGTGAAAGAGAGCTCTCTCCTGAGAGGCTCAAATAACCTCAGCTCAGTGAGGTTAAGGCACACCTTGATATGATCATTATAGTTATTAATGAGACATTAGAGACTCAATTATTAACAGGTATAAAATACTATATGACAGTAACAAAAAAAAGTTGTTAAAAATAACAAGAATAGAGTTTGAAAGGAGAGTGATTTGTAAAATATCCCAAAAGAAAAATCTGTCATTGTCAGATGGTATATTACGCTGTTTTTTTTCTGCTTCGAATAGTTCTCTCTTTTTTCACCATACCTGTGTTTGCATCACTGAGTTTAAAACATAAGCGCCTCACCTCCGTCACAGTTCCTGCAGCCCCCGTGTTGCTCATCAATTCCTTTCCTCCTCCCATGATATTGATCATCTCCTCCCCGGTTGACTGTCTCATAAACCTCTTATTGACGATCCGGGTCACATTGTCGTTGCTTCCGTTCAGCGCAACGATTCCTCCAACCCCGGCCGACACGCACTCTGGTTTAGGTTCATCAATGCCGCCAAAACTACCCAAGACACTCGGACCTCCGAGACTGCCATTGGAGTCTCTCAGTGGTCTCTCTCCAGGCAGGGTGACTGCTCCCTGGCCACGGCTGCTGCAGACGTTCCTAAAGAACTCCTGGACCAGGCCTCCGTACCGCTGAGGGCCGGGGTCACATGTAGAGACTGGCACAGCAGTGGGTTTCCCCGCTGCAGCAGGCAGCCGTGCTGGACTGGCTCCCTGGCTGGCTCCTAAATGAAAACACGGATCCAAGGCAGGTATTATAATTATTTTCATAAATAATAAGACACATTTAATTCTGGAGGCATGCTTGTGCTGTCAGCAGCATTACATAGAGAATAGAGACTTTAGATGTCAAAGCAAGGTTGGGAATGTTGTACTCATGCAGTCATGGTTTTATTTGTCTCTTTAATCTTACCTCCATCCCCCCTCCAGAGCGACTCTGTGCTTCCAGTGTGCTCCACCAAGCTGAAGAGGCTAGAGAGGCCGTCATTCAGGCCGTTCAGCACGGGGCTGTCCCGGGTGGTGGTGGAGCGAGCCCAGGCAGAGCCTCCGCCTCCACTCAGGGATCTCTGCTGGAGGCTCCACAGGCTGCGGTCCCTGGAGGAGGTACTCCCATCCAGTCTGGAAGTGGAGCCTAAAAACACAACAGATGGATGTCTCTTTCTCTCAAACAAAAGTACTAACATGGAATATCTATGAAGCATATCAATGGTGATTCAATAATTTTGATTAAAGGCTCTCTGACTCTAAAACCAAAGCTTAGAGGACAAAGTGTAATTACCAGAAGACACTCTGCGTTGTAGTTTCGGGGATCCATACTTTGGTGAACAGCATGGTCTATCGATGCGGCTGTGAACTTTATCCAGGGAGGTGGATATCTGCCGGGTTCTGGCGGATGCTAGCGAGTTGGTTGTCGGCAAGGGGCGAGGAGACCAGGATTTGGAGTGTAAACCCACCACTCTGCTGCCTGGAAGGATGTCGGTTTGAAGCCCGATGCTTACGTACTGTGTGGCAGTCTGCGTGGACCGGGTGGACATGCCCATCGCCTGGAGGGAGAAATGAAAATGGGGGAGAATGTTAGGCGTTGAGACAGGGAAAAAAACAACAAAGAACCGCTATTGAAGAGAAATTATTCAGAATATGATGATTTCTCCTTAAACGTACACTAGATAATTAATGTGTTAGTATACTGCAAAATCTTCTAATTACTTAGTGACATCTGACAGTGTTGTTGCATATTTTAAAGACGTTTCCAGTATTCTTTTTACAAACTAATGTAACCAGGTTCTAAATAAGATATTGCCCTAAAAAAATTGCATAAAATAAAATACAAATAAACTTTTAGAAAAAGCTATGTTTCAACAGATTTTTGTTGGATTAAAAAATAGTTTTTTTTCTACTAAAAAAGAGGAAACTACCTGGCTTCCGGGTTCCTTGGTGGATTTCCTCTCCAGAGAGGACGAGCGAATGGCCTGGCGGACACAGTTGGTCATCTCCTTCATGTCATCACTCAAGTTGGCTGAAATCTCCCCAATCTCCAGACCATGGAAAGCAGACGAGGGTGTCATTCCATCAACTGAGCTACTGTTGCTGGGGATCGAACCGGCGATAGAGCCACTTCTGCTCTCCAGCAGCTCCCTGTGCTGCTTGGACAGCGAGCTCAGCCACTGCTCGTAGGAGGACGAGAAGGAGGGTGAAGGTTGTTGCTGCTGAATCTCAACGGTTTCCTCCAGAGCCATGCCTAGATCCGGGCCCGCCACTCCCAGGTCAGAGCTCCCGTTCTGGGCCTGCTGAGGCTCTGTGGCCTCCTGGCTCCTCCGGTGGTGCTCCATGCGTCGTACAGCAGGGGGGCTGTAGTAGATCCGGATGCCGGTGCGGTCCGGGGCCGTGTGGCTCCTCTGGACCGACTCCAGATCCAGCTCTGATCCCACCAAGCTGCTGCAGGAGCCGCTGGGGCCGTCCCAGGTCTTACAGGTGTCCCCAACCTCTGGGGTCTGGAGCAGGGACAAAAGGGAAACGGGATGAAATCATTATAATTTGTAATATGCAGTTTTTATAAGGGATGGGGACGATATTGCAACTATTTTAGCTAAGTTAATTAGCTTTAATAATGAATGTCTCAATGTTATATATGAGTATATGGTTTACAAATGAATATTTTTTGATATGATATAAAATGTAATCAATCTTTGTTTTACTTGTGTTGTATATAATAATATATAGAAGTAAAGAAATACAAACAAAAACTCAACATTTAAAATCAAATAATTCACCTCATTGGTCAGGTAGGTCCAATTCTTCCTGGTGAGGTCACCAAGAGAAGGGACTACAAACTGGATCCTCTGCTCCTGATTGGCTAATCCGTCGACTTCTGCACCGGCAAGCTCTGATGTGGATTTGTATCTTTTGATTGTAAAGAGTAAGAAGGAGTTTATGAGAAAAGAGAAGCAATGTCACATACAACACAATAATTATAACACTATTTTAGAAATGTTCTGATTTCTTCCACATGTTAGGGGTTAATTTTAACCTAAGTAATGTAAGGTCTTGTTGGTAATTGTTACCTTGGCGATCCTGTTCCATTAGTGACTCCTGTGTCTGCAGAGGACTCGCCGCCTAATGACTTTGACTGAGAAGACAAAAGAAAAAACACTCAGTAAAAAGGAAACCACAGAAATACTTAAGTAGCTTATTAGCAAAGTAAAAGGCCTGCATCATTTGTACAAATTGTTCTTGTAGCATTTTGCCTTCCTACACACACGCTGGAAGACATCCACTGTGGACACATTCCTTACGTTGCCCTCCACTTCCTCTAAAGCTGTGTTGGCAGGAGGAAGTGGAGACTGTCTAGTACCGAGGTGCCCAACCAGTCGATCGCGAGATGTGTCTAAAAATAGAACAACAATATTCTGGTTTATCGTTAATGTCCTATAACATAATCTTCCTGGGCCAGAATAATGCACTTGAACGCATCAAAGCTTTGTGATTAGCAGGCGTGACCCCATGTGTCGGGGCGTGGCTGGTGGGCAGTGGGGGCAGTATTTTGCTGACGTTGTCCGTGTCAACAGGAGTAACAGTCCGCACGTACACAAGACTGCAATTATGGCAGAAGCAAAAAAGCCCAAAATATATAATTTTCACTCCGAGTGGGAGGATGATTATTTTTTTATCTATTCCAATTCAAAGTCCATCTGTCTCATCTCCATTAAAAAATAAACACCTCTTCTCGCTTCGCCTCAGCAAGAAGGGCTGTCTGGTGAGACATCTCACTTCATGTTACTCTGAGAACTGGGGTTACGTTAGTAACCTATAGATCTCATTCATAACACTCCGTTCAATGTCTCACTATGGGATATTGAAACTCCCGTATTGCTAGACATGCTTATCTCGAAAATCACCAAAAATCAGTACTCAATAGGTAGAACTCTGTCTCAACACGGGGCCCAGCACTGCATGGGCCACACTTGGAGCAGAGACATCCAATCTGTAAAAGCGGACAAAAGTGAGCGGTGAAGACCAGCTCGCTGCTGCACAAATGTCCTGGATGGAAACACCCTTGAACAAAGCCCAGGATGTAGCCAGTCCACGAGTAGAATGAGCACGCAGGCCCGTTGGTGCCTGCAAACCCTGACTCGTATAAGCCAGAGCAATCGCTTCCAAAATCCAGTGGGAGAGCCGTTGCCTGGTAACGGGCTTGCCCTTCTGAGGGTTAGCCAAGGATATAAAGAGTTGGTCATTGCAACAAAACTCTTTTGACCTGTCCATATAGGTGCGTAACGCACGAACTGGACACAGCAAATTTGGCCGCTGTTCCTCAGAGGAACACAGCGGCGGAGGAAATGCCATGATGTCAATGGGGGTAAATGAGCCAACCACCTTAGGTATAAAGGCAGGGTTGGGCTTCAGCAACAGTCTCGTT